TACACAAGGAATCTCTGCCCAGGGAATCTACTCAACCCTAATGTAGAACTTCTTGCTTTGCGAATACAGTCCATTCTATTAAGGAATGGGAATTATTCCTATTAAAAGAATAGGAAGGGACTGCAGATCATCCAACCTGTCTCTGGTTTTGTTTGTGTGGGGTTGTATTTTTTTTAAATTAAGAGACAGGCTGGCAATTTTCACCCAGTAATTTTTATAAACTCATCACTTCTCCCATCCTATAAGAAACAGAATGGTTAGAAGAGAATTTGGTGAAAATTTTATTGCACAAAAGCCCTTTGGTAATTTGTCCTGAATCCCATCTGGTAAACCATGCATTTCCCTTGAGGCAGAGAGCGCAGAAGACATTCTACAGCAAATTGAACTATAAGCAAAACCAACCTTTAGATCCACATTTATATGTTGCATTGACTCGTATCATCTTACCCAAGGACTGCAAAGTGCCACATGAGCATTATGGATGTAAGAGCAGTCATTTTTCACTCTCTCACAGATGGGAAAAATTTAGATAGAAAGAGATACAGCAACATTTACAGTTACTTAGTTTTAGTACTGGGAACAGAACAGAGATTTCCTAACTTCAAGATATAGGCATTAGTAAAAGACTATCTGTCCTGCCTTTAGGACAGCAGACCTCATTAAAACTGTTCCCTGCAGTAGCTAGACAAGTAACTTTCCAACCACTTCATATAGCAATGGCCAGACTGGATCAATCTGACTTCCTGTCTCATATAGGTCAGGGAATTGCACCCAGTGATATAGCACTATGTCCACTTTGCATTGAAAAAATAGACATAGATGGATTGCCGGTCTGAATAAGTGTTGCATACAGGATCTGTATGGGGTGAAGTGGAAAGAACACCACGAGGTTTAACTCAACTTTGAACCCATTTCTTTATTACATGCTTGTACTGTATTCTTTAGGATATAAACTGATCCTGAATTGAGAACAATGAGAACCTCCCCTACTGTAAGTGAATCATTTGTGTACAGGGTTTAGAGATACCTGTATGGAATAGGAGGTGATATGCCTTCACCAAAAGGATCCGATACTGCCCTCCATGTCCAGGGATAGATTCCAGAGACAGGATTCCAGTCCAAATGAACCACTAGTCCCTCCTGGCATGATAGTTCCTACATTAAAAAAAAAAAAACTTTGCTACTGTTACAGGATTTTCCAGCCTCTGTTCCTGCACAAATTTAGCCATGATGTCTGTTTAAATTGCTGCCAATGAGACATGCTGTAATGCCAGGGCCTACCACAGAAAGATGGGAAAGAAGGTACAGTGGAACAAGAGAGGGGTTAACAAAAAAAACAACCCAACAAACCACAAGAACATTGTACTTGGCTGTACAAGCAACCTTCAAATGTGTCTCCAGAAACGTCCCCAATTACCAATGGTAATAAAAACCTCCCATTGAGGAAAACAGGTATCTTCTACAGAACCAGAAGTTCTCACTCCCTAAATTAAACTCAGTGCAAAATTCAAGAGAACTCTTTCCTTTTTGATAAATTAAAGCAAAACCTAAAAAGTGCAATCTTCCAGGCATTTAAAGATCAATGTGGGTATGGCTTCACTCAGTGAAGTGGAGTGACCCAGAGGAGCGTAAAAAATAAGACAGGTGTCAAGAGGACTTGAGGACAGCATAGAAAAAAGGTGCTAGGATTCATATGAGTATTTAGTCTGAAAACTAGAAAGGGCAAAGATTTCATCGGTAAGTTTAAATCAGTCAGTTTCACATCTTAGTTGGAGGCTGGCGACTGGTTAGTATAGCCAGATCCTACCTGGTGACTTTATTAGGAGACAGAAACTAATATTAGAATGATCCACTGGTATGCTGGTACTAGGTTTGAAGAGGAAAACTGTCTGGCTCAGCCAGGCAACAGGGCTTTAAAAACCAGGTACAAGATGCTCCCATAGATTACCTTGAAGAGTATGTCCATTCTATCCAGGTTCTCACATTGCATCTCTTCACTATCTTGAATTTTTGAGCAGCAATTCAGGATGCTGCAGGACCAACCAACAGAACTGCACCTTCAATCATTTCCCAAAGGATTGACAAGGGCAAAAAAACAGGCTTCCACAGAAGTTCCCCATCTCCTATTGCATTGTTTGGTCATCATATGGCCTAAAATACAATGGGGTGAGTGGGTGTCCATGTGTGCGCGCACACATGTACATGCATACATACATCTTTTTTTGTTTGTTTTTATTGGCTTCAGCCCTCTTTTGATGTAAGTGGTACACTTCAGCATCTGAATCTCCACATGCTGAGCATGGGTTATTATGCTTTAATTTATAATATCATTTTCACAGTGCCCAGGGATTTAAATTACATTCTTCCCTAATTTGGAACCACCTCATGTGACCTGTAACACTCAGCCATAAATGCTGGTATGGGGGTTTACTTCTGCCTTATTTCCAGACGTTCTTTCATGATGCCTGAGCTACGTGCTAGAACAAAATGCCATAAAAAGAAAGAGGTTTAAATAAAGAAAAAGACAGAGCAAGCAACAAACTTTATCTTCCTATCTGCATCATAAAAATTTAAAGCCATATGGCCCACTGCAAAAGAATGCACTTCCTGGAGGCACTGTGCCGTGTCACTAATTCACATATACAAGATGTACTGTACACAATCTGAAGATCACAAAATCCCACTGCCAGTTAGCAGGCATGGAAAACTCATGTTTCACAGCCTGGACATTATCATATGGGTATGTTTCACAACATAGAAGAATAGCTGATTCAGGACTTCTCGAAAAGGCAAAAATATAAAAATATTTTCCAAGTCCTAGGATGAGTGAATTCTATTCAAGACAGAGAAAAGTATGTTCATGCTATTAAAAAAAAAGAGCTGGATGCAGGTATGTGTTTTAAATGGTAAATTTGTTTGTACACAATGATGCTGGGAAGAAGAACAAGCATGTGCACATGTATATGGGAAGGGAGGCATATGCTCATGTATTTGGGTATATATACATGCAAGTGCATACCCTGGGAGTACATTTGTGCTGTTAATGTAAGCATGCCAATAGATTTGCCACTAGAAGGACATAAGAGCAAGCACGCACATTTTGCCTCATCCCTTTTCTGTGTGCATGAATACATGCACGCGCACACACAGGATCCTAGGAAATTAGGGCTGGAAGGTACTTCATGGCTAGGGACAAGAGTTGCACATAAACTGTTTTAAGTGATCAGAAACTGATTTAAACCTGGAACAGAACAGAAGCTCAGTGCACATAAACCAGTTTCGAAATGGTTGAAACTGATTTAAGATAAACGTGGTTGAATATAATATCAAGCTTAACTGATTTGGGTCAAACCGGTTTATGAAACTTCTGTCCTGGACCCCTTCCTGGTTCAAGTTAAGTCACAGTCCCCTCAACATCCCAGCATTTTGCAGCCCTAGGCTGTGCTGTGCTGTGGTGTCTGCTCCAGATAGCAGGGCTGACCCCACCCCTCTGCTCCCTAGCTGGATCAGTGAGGGCTGGCTGACAAGGGGGCGGGGAGGGCAAGCCCAGCTGGGGATGCAGCCCAATCTCCCCAAGGCAAACCCTGGCTGGGGTCTGGGGCCAAGGAGAGGGGTTAAACACCTCTTCCCCCTGCTCAAACTTCGTGCTGGCTGTGACTATGGACTACAAATCCCAGAGGCACCTGGAAGCAGGAAAAGGAAGTGATGAGCACCCCTGTCGAATCCTGCTGCTGTAATTCTGGACTGCAAATCCCAAAGACCTCAGGGGCAGCAGGAAAAGGAAGTGAATCCATAGCCAGAGAGCTGTGCTCTAGCGCCCTGCAGCTTCTGGCCTGAGCCGCTGCTGGGATATAGGTGCATTTCCTGAGTCAAAGGTAACTGTCTGTTCACTTCTGTTTCAATTTAATCTGTGCAGTTTAGACTAACCTGCAAAGACTGAATTGAATCAACTTCAGGCATTTTGACTGTCTGTACTTAGCCCATAAGGTCAAATACTCCAGGCCCCTTCTCAGGGCAGGATCATCCCCGACTAAACCATCCCTGTCAAGTGTCTGTCTAAGATTCAGAAGGCTTTAATTTGGCAATTGAGAAATAAATGTTTCTCATACAAACACATGCCACCCTAGCTATAAAAAACATTTTGCCTCTGCTTTTCCATTTTATGTGCATATTGGCATCCCTTGCAGCCACAAAGTCAGTGCATTCCAGGAACAGCTCTTGCTTCTCTTTCTATAGTGCCAAGCTCATCAAATATCTGCTTAAACTATAAAGACAGAGACCCTGGGAGAAAAGTACATGTTCAATAGCAAGGCAAGCAACTTCCAAAAGCAACCTTGGAAGTCTGTGCTCTCGTGAACTCCAACGGAGTCAAAACCACAAGTGAAGTCATTTGATGATTGTGGAAGAAGACAGAGGCTTCTGTAGGTTCATATCCAGTTTGCCTGTGCTGTATTAATAACCTGGGACTTCTGAAATTTGTAATACAATCCAGTCATTTTCTGATAAAAACAGGAGGATTATGCACCAATTTCACTGTATATGATACTATTAACTGAAGCTCTGAAGCAACGCTGTGCGTCTTGGATAGTCTTCTTGTGTTTAAAGTGTGTGTGTAATATGTATTACACACATACACACTGTATTTATTTATTTATACCACATACATACATATGTGTGTGTGTGTATGTAGTCATATACATACTAAAACACGCTTTTTTATATATATATGGAGGAAGGCACGTCACAGAAAAGGACTGTTTGGGTTCCAACTGAAACAGCGAAGATATATATGTGTGTGTGTGTGCACATGCATGTAATATATATTACACACACTATAGATAGATAGATCTATCTAGCTAGAGAGAGAGAGAGAGTATATGTAATACGTGTGTACGTAGTCTATATATGACCACATACATTAATATATGTATGTGGTCATATATAGACTACGTACACACATATTACATGTATTTGTATGTGTGTGTGTGTGTGTATGTATGTGTGTAATATATATTACATGTACACACACACACACATTATATATCACTCACTGTTTCAATTGGAACCCAAACAGTCCTTTTCTGTGATGTGCCTTCCTTCCCAGGCATCAATTATTCTCTAAAGTATTTTAGGCTATTCAACAAAAATAAAGGACTGAAAGTGGAAACAGCAAACTCTATACCTGTCTGAACCTGCTACAAGACCAAGGTCTTTCAGGGACCTCAAAGCCACAAAATTCATGCCCTTTGATTTCCTGAAGCCTTGCTACAGAATCCATGTCTACACCTTCCCAATTCTAGTATTTCCACAGAACTTCAATAGCATTTGGCCCCACAAGCTTCACTGGCATTCCAGAGGCATACCTGAAGGCCACTTTGCTTTGCAGTGACTGGTACTTGTTCCAAGCTGTATTTGACAGTTGAGCTGTGGAATAATATCACTGTCTCCATTCAGTTAATTATGGACAAGTGTCCATAATAGAAAACAAAGTTCACATATGTCACAGGATCTTGCCACTGACAGCCTCAAGAGTGATCAAACGTTAAATAGGACAAGGGTAGAATTACCTAGAGAACAATAAGGCTAGACTGGAATAAACTGAGGAGAGCCAGAAGAGAAGAGGAGTATTAGCTATGCACTGAAAGCTACAAGTGCATGCTAACTACAAGAGAAATATACTGTCAGAAACTATGTTGGTTTCAACTGCATAAAAAAAATAACGTTTCCTTTAGGACTCCTCTCCACATTACATTGATGCTGTGATTAATGCACCCAATTTAAAGGCACTGGAAATGGTAAACCAACCATAAAAATGTTCCACAACACTTTTATGGCTGGTTTGTATGATGCCTTCAAATTGAAGATTTGGCATATCCAGGGCTGCCGCAGGACCAATGCCAACAAGCAAGATTGTCAGCCCCAGTCCTGAGACAACCCCAGGTTACGCAGGGCTGCAGGCACTTAACTGTCAAACTGATCCCAGGCTCCACCTGCACTAGCACGTAGAAAGGCCAAGAAAGGATACAAAGGACATAACAACAAGAAAAAAAAAATCACACCTGTTGCCATGCATATGTGGCATGGCAAGAAGCGTGATTGTTGGGATTGGGGATCAGATCCCAAGGTGCCTTCAAACAAACATGTGCCAGGGCCTC